TTCGCCGAGGAAGCCGGGGGGGGGGCGTTGGCTCGCTGGGGCTGCGCGAAGGGCTCGCTGGGCGCCGTCCACGAAGTTACGTCGAGGCCAAAGGCCAGAAGAGCAGAGGGCGAGGAGGGCCCCTCGCACTGGCGGGGTCGTCGTTCGTTTTCAAGCAGGGGTTTATCATGAGTGAGAAAAGCGTTTCCGAGGGTCGCTTGCGGGTCTAAGACGGATGGGATATGAGGGGGCCCCTGAGGGAAGGGGTCCGATTCCTAGTACGCATACAAGTGTTTGCATGGCATTGTGTTTATAAGATAGCAATCTCTCATGTCCTGGTGCCCTCCATGCCTTTTTTTTTTTGTCTACAACACGACTCCAGACAACACTGGTGGCTGGGGTGATGAAAGTTGTAGTCCTGGAGATGGTAATAGGTACCCGGTGGGGAAAGCTGCAGGGCAGCTGAGAGGCAGGTGGGTGTGGGATGGACAATGGACCTGACCCAGACAGGACTGGTGCTATAGTTAAGGAAGCAGAAGTGGAAAAACTGTAGCAGGAAGGTGCCTTTGTGAGTTGTTAGGTCTGTTACAGATGCACGGCACATATTTGGGTTTTGTCTTTCTGGGAGGGTCAGTCAGCATTGACAGGTGAACACACTGGGTGTGTTTTCTGGTATAACTTGCCCTGCTGTTGCATGTGTCCTAACCATAATATTGCACTCTGACTGTTAGTGTCATTTTTTCTGAGTCATGTTGTCTATGTTTGGTTTAGGACTCTGGCTGTGGAGTCAGAGGTTAGGAGTTCAATTCCCCACGAGGACTCCTTGACGGGCTGGACTCGATAACCCATAGGCTCCCTTCCAGTTCTGCGGTTCAAAGATTAGTCTGCATATCTGTGCTAGGATTCCTGTTTGATAATAACGGTTAACTTAATGATAGATGCACGTTCTGTATTTCAGTTGCCCCACATTTGCCAAGTACCCAAGCCTGAATGTAGATATCTGCCACCTAAGGCAGCACTCCATGCATCTGGTGAACTGGACTTTATGTCAATTTGAGATAGGCTTGATTGAAACAAATTATTCTGAATTCTGGCCAAGCACATTTCTAAAAGACGGAATACCTGTGAAGATGGGTTCCTAAAGTTAACTATAAGTAACTTAATTAATTAATTGAGCATTAATTAGTGTTTGCTTTTTTAAGATGAGGGAATTTTTTAGGCTTTGCAAAACCAAAGTACTTCTAATATATAAATGTGTAGTTTTGTATACATAGTCTTGTTAGTATTATTTGAAGATAATACTGCAATATGTCTAATTTAGTAGATAACTCATGAAGATTGTCAATTTGACGAATGCAATTATAGTACTGGTGTTTCTAACCTGCGTTCAGTCACAATATATGTGGATTAAAATGATGTGGAAGAGGCAATTTCTACCTTCTTTGAAACATCTAGGACATCATTGGAGTGGGGCTATACAGTGGAGTGGCCAGCTTTGACCGTCCAGACTACAGTTCCCAGCATCCTTCACCACTTGCTGTTCTGGTTAAGTCTGCAAGACTTCCAGCTGAAGAAATTCTGTATAGCCACATGTTACCTTCATCAGGTTATTAAAAATTATCCAGTCAGTGTTTTTAAGTTTTGCAGAGAGCTCCTTGAAGAAAATTTATAAGTGTGCAGAGGCTAGGATTTAAGAACGAATATTACATCATTCAGATAATATAGAAAGCTAGATTTAAGATACTATGGCCACAATTTTGTTTGTCTGGGTGTAGTGTAACATTACACTGTTGTAAATGTGCTGTCTAGGCAATGACAATAGCACAGTTTGATTGCACAATTGGTCACATACCCTAAGAGCCCTATAGAAATTTGTAGACCTCCAGGGAAAAACCAGAAGCCTGTGTTCATCACAGCTGGCATTTTATCTCAATTAAAGGTTAATTCCAGAATGAAGCCTGACAGTTGTATCAAAATTCATCTGGGTATTATGGTATGAGTCTTCTCATTGTTACAGTGATTCCAGGTAACCTTAATTTGTCTAATTTGACAAGCTTTATTTATCTGCATTGCTTCGTTGTTCCCTAAAAAAGTAAGAAGTTAACATGTATTGAATACATACTTGCTATTGAGAGAAAAACTGAAAACACAATTGTTTGAATGAATGAATGAATGAATGAATGAATGAATGAATGAATGAATGAATGAATGAATGAATGAATGAATGAATGAATGAATGAATGAATAAGCTTTATTATGAACACTGACCAGCACATATGTCCAATGAAACTATAACACAAAAAATGTTTGGAAATATATGAAAACTCAAGAGTGATAATGTTGAATGCTTCTGACTATACTCTTTCTTGGAGCATAGTTGTAAAATTTCTAGGAGTTGCTTTGCATCTGCCAGGTTTCACAGTGAGAGAATAACATTTAATTTCATTTTGAATTTAGTTAAGTGCTAGTTTTATGTGGTACTTGCAAGTTAAAAGTTGGTAAATGAAGAATGAGTGTTATTTTTATTATTTTTAGGGGTGACTACCTGCGATGTTGCAAACTCTGCTATCCATTATGTGCTTTTGTAATTCTGGCTGCTTGTGTAGTAGCTTGTGTCGGCTTGGTGTGGATGCAGATTGCTCTCAAGGAAGACCTAGATGAGTTAAAGGAAAGGTTACGAACCAGTAAGTACTGATCCTAAGCATTTGTCTTCTTTATAATGAGTGACAGCAGAAAATTGCAGTCCTGTATGGAGAATTAGTGCAGGGAAATCACCCCAGAGGGAGACCACAGCTGTGATACAAGGATATCTGCAAGTGGGATATCTGCAAGCGATCTGAAGGCCTTAGGAATGGACTTCAACAGATGGGAAACCTTGACATCTGAGCACTCAGCCTGGAGGCAGGCGCTGCATTGTGGCCTCTCCCATTTTGAAGAGACACTTGTCCAGCAGGCCAAGGCAAAGAGACAGTCCCGAAACCAGCAAAATCAGGGAGCTGGACAGGGGACAGATTGTATTTGTTTCAGTGTGGAAGGGATTGTCACTTTCGAATTGGCCTTCTCAGCCACACTAGACGCTGTTCCAAGTCCTCCATACAGAGCACGTTACCATAGTTTCTTGAGACTGAAGGATGCCTAAATCACACTTTGAAAATTTTAGTAAAATCAGTGGACCTATAATCATTTTTGAGATTCAACACAATTTATGAAAACAATGTAGATATCTTAAAGTGGGAGAAGGCAATACTCTACATACAGTTTCAAATCTTATTATTATTGCCTAACTTTGGCTTCACATTTTCTATTTCAGTGGAGTCTAATCAAAAATCCTCATTTCAAGAAATTCCTCAATTGACTGAAGATATGCTTAATAAAGAAAAGGAACTGGAAAAAATTAAGGATGGAGAAATGGGACTGAATAAAATTTGGGTAAACATCACTGAAATAAGCAAACAGGTAAAATGATCAAGCATATATTCAAGGAAAGTTGTACTTAAAGCAGTCAGTTGCTATTAATAGTAAACTTGTGCATGAATATTGCTAAGTACACAAAATCAATCTTGTTTTACCAAATAGATTTTAAGACATAATGCTAGAAGCGGGTCTCTGTGGAACTGTAGCTAACTACTTATTGATACTTTGTTCCACCTTTCTCTTTGTTCATTTGTTGTCACAAAATAAATGAATATTTGCCTAATATGTTCATCTTCACAACTGTGGTTTCTAAAGAAATAATAAGGAGAACATGAATAAAGTATATGCTTCTAATAGAGAGGTGGACAATCTGGCCAGTACACAATCCAGTTTTCTATCCCAAGGACCCTCTGGGAATATAATAGACTGACAGATGCAAAAAAAAAGGTAGAAAGTGAAATCAAAAGTAGCTAGAAGTCCACTCTTCTCCTTTGAAAAAGTGGTATGCTAGTGAGTTAAAGGTGGGGCTGAGGGACTGTGAGCAATTTAAATTTAATTACTATCCCTAGAAACTTCCATAAGCTGGAGATCCCCTCCATTTTGTGGGAGGGGGGCTAGAAAAAGGCAGCTGGAAGAGGGCTGGGGGCAGCAAAACCAGCCAAGTTGTTGGCATATCGCCCTAGGATTATAATTTGCTGATAACTCTTCTGAAGCCACATCAGATGTCACACAAATGTGATACTTGAGTATTGGGTGCTTGTTTTGTAGTTATAGATTGTCTTAAAAGGACTGTATGTGAAAGTGGAGCACTTCCACATCGTGTGTGTTTCTTGTTGCTTGTATAAAGATTTAGAATGTCTACTGCTAATTGATTGTTGTTTGTGTGGGTAATTTGGCTGCAATAAACTTTAAATGAATTAATTGCTTGCTCAAAAATATAAACTGTTTTTGTGAGCTGAAAAGGATTTTGTGGTATTATCAGTGAATTGTGCTTGGAATTGTTCTGAAGATTGCCTTACTGCTCTCCTTCATCTTGAATCAAAACAATTTGTTCATCAAGAACAGCTAGTTGCATTTAAAGTTAGTGTGGGTGCACTTCATAATTATACAGAACTTTCTATGAGAGCAGATTGGCAGATTTTCTATATATTTTATGTTATCAGACACCAGATGTAGGAACCTTATACAGCTTTCTTAAGTCATAACATTGTGGTGCCTTCAGTAAATCTTATCTTGATATGCAATTGTTGACTCTTCTGTTCACTTTATCTTAGCAAATGGTAGCTATGCAACTTGCATAAACTATAGGGTTGCCAGTTGATTAAGGCTTTTCATTTCCAAGTAGTCTGACATTTGACAGAACAATGATTTAGACTCAATATTTACCTATTGCAAAATGTCAGTGAAAGTGCTTTCTGAGGCTATTGAACTGTTTTTATAAGCACAGATTTCCAGTTAAGCAAAACAAAAGGTATATTCTGGGAGATGGAAGATCATCTTCAATATTTTTATGCAAAGTCTGAGACGAGATTATGTGAAGTGTCACAATGGGGAGCAAATTGCTTGCATTAGGCAACTCAAGTTCCTAGAGTAGAATCCTCATGTTTAAAACATGTTGGCCAAATCGTACTTGTGTAACTTATGCCAGCATTGGGGAAATTATGTCTTTGGGATAAGCTCAGTGAGTTGGATATTGGGCAAGTACACAATCAGAGGGCATCCCCAGAAGAAGGTAGCAGTAAATAAGTTCTGAGTACTCTCTACCTAGAAAACCCTGGGAAGGGTCACCGTAAGTCAGAATTGACTTGATGACATATAATTATTATTAGCAGTAGATCCCCACTAATTAGTTCCTCATCTGATTCTCCTTACATTCAAATTGCGTGAGAACTGGCTTGGATTCTGAGTTGGGTGCAGTTAGGAATCCCGTGAGAAATAGTGATCAAGGACACAAATTTGTGATATTTTGCTGTTGCAGTGATATCATTAACTCAACACAAGTATGGGATCATAGAGTAATGGAGGGGCCTATAAGGTCAGCAAGTCCAACCTGCTCAATGCAGGAATCCAAAAGAAAGTATATGTGGTGATGGTTGTCTAATCTTCTCTTAAATGTCTCCAGTGTTGGAGCGTTCACCACCTCCTGAGGTAATTGGTTCCATTGGTCCCATACTGCTTTAACAGTTTCAAAGTTTTTTCCTGATTTTCAGCTGAAATACAGCTTCCTGTAACTTGAGCCTATTATTATGAGTCCTGCACTCTAGGATGGCCGAGAACAGATCCTGCACCTCTGTGTGAACCTTTCAAGTATTTGAAGAGTGCTATTATATCACCTCCTCAGACTTCTTTTCTTAAGGCTAAACATACTCAATTCTTTCAGTCTTTCCACATAGGGCTTTGTTTCGTCCCCTGATCATCCTTGTTACCCTTCTCTAAATCTGTTTCAGTTTATTGGCTTTCTTCTTGAAGTGTGGTGTCCAATTATATATAGATACCAGAGACTGTGTGGTTTATGGTCCTCTTTCCTTCATACATTCTAATGAAGCCTATTATTGGGCCTCACTAGAGCTATTTGCTCTGTTCCTGTTATTATGCATAAGCCTTCATCAATCTTTACCTCTCAGCTTGCATCTCCCTCCCCCTTCCACTTCGATTTAAAGTTCTCCTGATGAAGTTTTTCATGCTGTGGCCAAATATATTCTTCCAAGTCCTTGTGAGGTGCAATCTATCACTGCCAACAGGCCATCTGCCAGAAAATGTAGCCCATGGCCCCAAAATCAAAGACCCTTGTGTTAATACTGTATGTTCGTGGCCATTGAGATGGATTATTTTCTTTTCCCTTTCTATTCCTCCTCTTGTGGGATGGATGAGGAGACTATAGTAGCTGTCCCACTAAAGGAAGATTTCTGTTTGCCAGCCCGCATAGTGGTGTGCTAGTTGTAGAAGCTGTACTTTTCACTTGTTCTGAACTTTTCTGATTAATTGGAAGCAAATTCTTTTCTCTGATAAACCTACATTTTGTATATCTAACAAATTGTAGCTTAGACAAATATGATGACTTATATGACAAATATGATGCGTAAAGTAGAGATGGGATATTCGTATTTCTCTCCCACAGAGACAAAAATAAATACCGTCAACACAGGTAGCTGGTCTGATTGGACCCTTCTCCCCAGAACTGGGCCATCCAGACAGCCTGGTTCTGGGGAGAGGGTCCAATCGGCCCAGCCATCTGTGGTGGCGATGTTCATTTTTGTCTCCCCCAGGAGACAAATAGAAGATCCCATCACTAGAGTAAGCTATAGAACATATTGAATTTTCTTTGTATTTAATTTGTGTGGGGTATCATAGGCAGGTGTGTCAGTAGTATATTTTTGTTGTTGCTGCTAAATTCAGATGGAGATGTGCTTAAACTTGTTAAGGATGACATGTCTCTAAAAGCTGCATGATACAGGAAGAGTGAATGTATTGATTTTTTTGCACACTTAATGCATTTCTGTGGTTGAAATATGTGCAATATCTAATGATAGCTGTTGAAAATCTTTAGCATTAAAAAAGCTGCCAGTTTTTACCTATAGCAAGACATGACTATGTATGATTTCCTGTGAATCTGCAGATAGACTAAGATCAGATTTTTATCATGGAGAGAAAGATCCCAAGGGATAGAGAAATTTCACACAAATTATTGCTAGCTCAAAAAAAATCCAAAATAATAAAGAAAAGTTTGTGTATTGGCTAAAGATGTTTTGTTTGTGCCATTTTAGATGTTACTTAATATTAGTTGTCTTATTTGCATTCCAGTTATTTATCTGGAATGTCTCCTAAGAATGAAGACATATAAAATAAGCTATGACCCTGTTCATTAATGCATTTGCTTGTTTTTGGTTTCAGATATCTTTGCTGATGGGGGCAGTAAATCATCTCAAAGCGAACATTAAATCTGCTTCTGATTTGATTAACCTTCCTGTTACAGTGGAAGATCTTCAGAAAGTATGTACCACATTGAATGTCTTATCTAAAGTCATAACTTTATATGTTTCTACCATTTAGATGTTTTTAGATATACTTATCACTACTTTTCATGACTCATTGTGTTTGCAAACAATATTTATTTCTGTAAAATATTTTTATTGCACCCTTGAACTGTATTCTGAAATGTATCAGGATGTGTAAGTTTGCACTTGCTAAAACTTGAAAAGATGCTTCCCATTTAATGGGGAAAGCCCCTGAAAAATGCTGCCTTCTACAGTATCATAAACCATTTTAAAGTGTACTTGCAGGTAGTGCTTGGCTCAATTACATTGCAGTGTCAGAACTTGCAAGCAAGTGGTTGGATTTATTGGATGTGTTTGCTATAGTTCTCCCATGTTTTAGGTAAGTGTTTCCCAACCATGTTCTTGGACTAAAACTCTCAGAAGCCTTCAGCACTAGCTGTCCTGGCTAGGATTTCTGGGAGTTGCAGTCCAAGAACATCTGAAGGCCCAAGGTTCTAAGTAGTGAAGTTAAATGGCAATATGGCTTGGATAGCAGCCAAAATGGATTTATGCTGATCTTCCTAGAAGCCAGTTCCTGGCTCCCAATGAGGTATTTATGTTTCTAAGATTTCATACTTCCCCCCCTTCCTAAAACTGTAACTGTAATCTTTCTAGGAAGGCAGCATCAATATCAAAATCTTTATTGGTTTGTTTGCTTTGGGTAAAATTAATGTAAGCATTTATATCCAGTAACCTGCTCTTCTTTGGCATACACTTCTCATTGTATTGAAGGAAATGAAGAAAACTCAGAAGGTGTATGTATGTGTGGGAGTGTATAATCCAGCCTGTAAAGTACCTTCCTGCCTTCCCAGTTGAACAAACAGTATTGCCAAGTTTGCAACTCTAAAATCTCTTTCTTTAGTGGCCTTCAGGTGTTGTTCCTTAAAGGAAACTGTAACACATCTTGCTTTCATATTTGCATTCAGAGTGAAAATGCAATTAACTGTAGCTATCCAAGTTATTTGAACTTCTTATATGTGATTGTGTGCACACAGAGTATAACTTGTTTTCTTATGCTCTGGTGGTATCTGTGTAGGAAACAATGTCCTTGGAAGTAATCCTCAGTTGCTTCTGAATATTGTATTCGATATGTGTGTTTAGCACTGGTTAATAGAATGTCTGACTATCAACAAAATTTTTACATAGATATAAGTTGTTTAGGTGCCTTTTCTGTTTAATGCATACAGCTCTTCTTTAGAATTAATGCATTTGAATCTCAAGTATTTAGTCCATCAGTGAGTATTACAATATTATTACTAATGTGTTTTTCCTCCAGAGTGTTGCCACTATAGGTAGCACTGTAACCAGTGTTCATCATGATGTTGAGACGATGCAGGCAGCAATTGAAGAACATAAGAAAACTATAGAAACACTCCAAAATGAAATGGTAAGAATAGGTACAGATTTGATAGAATCACATTGTGTGACAAGTTTGCCTGTACTCATATTTGCTTTGTAATTCGAAGATGGCAAAAAAGTCCTTTTAAATGGTGCCTGTTGTGGAAGTAGTTATTTTTCAGTTATTGTTTCAGAACTCTGCATCTGTTAAACTTCAACTTCTGTGGAGGAGGAAAATGTGAACACTAACAAGCAATTTTAAGCAAGAAATAAATATCCAGTCACTCAGGATTTTCTAATCCCACCTTTCTTCATAAACCCCTTGTGTTGTAAATAAGAAAGCTTAGGACAATAGTAATAAATTGAGCAAGGCAGGTCAATTTGAGCCTTTATGATGGTAAGATTTTCTGAGCATGTGCTTAGGGAGAATTACACTACATTGTTGTTTCTTGGCTCCCATCCTGCTACATTTTCCTCTGTGTGAAGCATTTAAATACATTGACATTTAGAGCCAATATACTTGCATCTCTTGAATTTCGTATGGCTTTGATCATCTTCCTAGTTCAGTATTCATGTATGTTTAATTCTTTTATTTGGAGTTTAACAGGATGACATTATATTTCAGAGTGAACATGTAGAAGATATTAGAGGAAAGCAACTGCCTTCACTTTCTTCTTCCCCTGTTCCCCAAGTAAATGAGAAGAATCTGACATACAGTTGTAAGCAGGTGATTTGTTTGATGCCTTACAGATCAGTATTACAGTATCATATCTTAAAACAAAGTTTTCTAGTATCGCACACCTTGATGTTGCTATTTGGAGCAGAACTGTATTGCATTTGTGCATAGTGCACCTGTCCTGAAGAAAGAAATAATCCAGAGAAGGGGAGTTAAATATCACATCTCAATCTGAAATAAGAAAAGACTGCAATTGATTTGAAATAAGCCCTGCTCTAAATACAATACAATTCTTTAAAAGGTTCTCCTAGCTTTTTTGCTATCTATTCAACCTTGAAATAGTTCTCCTAGCCCCATTTGAACACAAGAAGCTGCCACACCTACTTGTCAAGCTTCTTCACTAGACACACACATTACAGGCTGGTTTACTATAAAATGTAAGCCCTACCCTTCAATATAGTTGCTAAGTGGTTGTAAAACATATCTCATAAAAATACTGTGGCATTTAAGGACAGATAAGTAAAGAAATTATTTTCTTGATGTGTTGGGCTAGAATTGGTGAGCATTTCATATGGAAATTCCTCATGATGATCACAAGGCTATGTTTGTTATCGATGTTGAATCTACTTGCAGGTTTCAGAAAATGAACATGAACATATTTTCTTTTTTCAGTTCTATTCTGGCTCCCATTTCATGACAACTGGAGCAAGTCCAGTTGAACTCAGGGAAGCTTAATTCTGGACAAAACAGTTTTAGGGTAGTGAAATGTTCCTGGAATGACAAAAATAGTTGCACTGATAGTACAAACTGTGTATCCTTAGCTGAGCAATATAATTAAAGGTTTTGTATGTGTCTTAAACAGGAAAGTCAATATCTACATACCTCTATAGAGGAGGTAAACTCTACCCTGATGTTGTACCAGAAACTGAATGATTTGAAATTTTTAAGTTTGGATTTCACTATCAGCAATATAAGCTGGAGAGTTACTTCATTAGAAAATCATATGACTTTACATGTGAATACACTGGAAAAGAGAGAAAACATCACCACTGGTGTGGTAAGTGTCCAAGTGTTTGGGAAATTAATCTTTCAAAGCAGAGATGTGTGCCATGTGCTAGGTAAATTACATACGGCAAACAGTGGGTCAGTACTTGTGAAAACGTTTGTTGCAAAAGGTGCTGCAAGTCACATTTGTCTTGGCAAACTGTAAAATCAAGGGTGGGAACAGTGTGATTTTTCTAGATGTTTGTTGAACTTATAAGTGCCATCATTCATTCATACCACATTTGGAAATCTGTTTGGTTGGCTTCCAGACTTAATAGGGTTTCAAGTGTTTTCGCAATGCATTTTGTTATGCTACAGATGCATGTACTTAAATATGTATAATTCAAGCCAGAAATTGTAATACAGGACTTATACGACTCAACTTCTTTTTATTTTTCATAAGCTTTTGTGTATCTAAACACATTTCTTCAAATGGTCATGTGAGCAGAATAGAAAACTCTTGGTAGTTTAAAATCATAGATAGCAGTTCTAAGTTGTCAACAGTTTAAAACTAGATATTTAATAGACAATAGGAATTGATAAATTCTATCACAATGGTGGTGATTAGGTTTGATGGGATTACAAAGGTTTAGATAATTAGATTAGAATATATGAAACCCTTGTTAAGGCCTAAAGAGAGCATGCTCAACTTTCTGATGCATTCCTGCTCAGTAGCCTCTCCTTGGAATCTGCCCCTGAAGTATTATTTGTTCAAATACTGTAGCACTGAGACCCGAAAAGAGTGTTGAGGAAGGATGAAGTGTTTCCCTGCTGGTTTCTGTATATTTCTATTCTTGATGTCTGCTTTATGTTCATTTACTCTGTTAGGTACAGCTTGCCTTTTTCGTCTTATACAGAATACAGTAGGGCATTGCTGACAAAAGATGGCATAAATCATATTAGACGAGGAGCAAATGCATGAGCCCCTCGTATTATGAATTATGTTGTTTGGTCCTCTGATGGTGTTTTCTATTTAAATATATGGACAAAGCTGGGTTTGTTTCTTTTATCAGTGCCTCTGGTTGACAGTCAATATGAGTTAGAATTCTCTTTAGATTGGGTCGCTGTCTGTACACCAGAATAAGTTGCCCACCTAGGCTTGCTAGAGATTTGTCATTAGCTCAAATAGGCTGGAGGTCTCTGATGATGTGCTTGAGTGGTTTCAACTGAGAACTGTCTGCCACTACTAGTAAACTTTATACATGTACTGTCATTCACAGGTGAGTGATGTGGCTACCTCAGCAAATGTAGAACATGAAGCAAAGAATGAAACTGCTGCTGAAATTGTAGAAAATATTGAGGTAATTTGAGGGGAAAGGACCCATGACATTTTTGGTCAACATGCTGAGTACTTTGCAATTTTCTCCATTCTTCTTCTCCTTCTCCTTCTCCATTCTTCTTCTTTGTTCTCCTCCTCCTCTTTCCTCCTCCTCCTCCTTCAGAATGTTGGCATCTTAAATGCTGACATGGTGAATAAGTTCCCTATAAACATTGTTTATTGTTTGCTGTTTTCAAACAATAAACACAGGCACAATGAGGTATTTTAATTTACAATTTAAAAAAAAAATTGGACAGTAAGATAACTAGAATAGTTGGGACTCACATTCTTAAAGTATGCAGTCTCTGGGTGTAGTTTGTCAGTATAGCTTCCTGAATAACATGAAAATGCAGTAATGCTGGGAAATGTTAAAGGCAGCAGGAAAAGAGGAAGACCAAACATGAGGTAGGCTCTAGAAATACCATATTTTTCCATTTATAACACCATGCCCCCCACTTTTCTAACCCCAAAATTAAGAAAAGGTAGCTTTGAGTATTCAGCTTCTGGGCTCAGAACATCAGACATTATGTCTGAGCCTACAGGTTCCACCTCCAATGAGGTGTGTTCCAATTGGTTTGTTCAGCATCAGCTGACATCAGTTCCATTATGCTTGTGATTGGAGGAAGCTAAGTCTCCTGACTGTAGGAAGCTAAACCTTGTGGCTGAAGGAAGCCTGTTTGCAGAGACAAGGTATGGTCCATTTTGTTCTCTCCTCAGATACAGTTTTTGTGTGTGGATAGCCTAAAACAGCTCAACATCTTCTCATGATGGGTTTAGCAGCATTTGAGTTTTGATTATACTTGCAACTTTCTCTTTTTTTCATATTTACCTTGCATAATCGGCCACCATCTTAGTAACAGCAGTAGTCCCATACAACAAGTTAATAATATATAAAATAACATTATTTGACTTCTGAATTTTGTAGTGTATTAAGAGCTTATTGTTACAGCCAGCAGTGAATTAAGCAAGATTTGTTTATTCTTTTTTAAAATGTTGATATTTGTACAGAAAATAGAAGATGTAGAGTCTCAGGTATCCAAATTAAGAGAGAAGCTGCAACAGATCAGTCGTCTGTCGGTCAAATCAGAAAATGACCCATTGGAATCAATGAAAAAAGGTGAACATTCCATACCATTATAGTTTTATTTAGTATTACATTACAATGGTCTTTCACTTTTGCTACATTAATTTTCATTCTTCTCCTGTAACAGTGATTTTTTTTAATACTGCAGTTGCACTATAGTGTCAGAATGTATAAGAATATATTTTGTTGTTGACTTCACATTTGATCTAAGCCTTAAATTTCATCCTTGAGTATTTGTCTCCAAGGAGATAAATAGCAATTTAAAAGCTCTTAAAATGTGTAGTCTGGAATTTATTAGTAGGGCAACATTCTTAATAGGATGGTGTGAATTTGATTTCCTGTTTGCTTATATTCTTAGGAAAAAAATTCATATTTTTATTGAGTACAATTTTCTTTTTAGTTCAATATTTTCTGAAAGAGTATGACAGTGCAAGTTAGAATTGTAGTACAATACTGTCATCTTGCTTACACAGTCTATCAGCACATTATCTTTCTTTACACATCTACTAGTTCATAGTTTAACATACTTGATTAATTCTTTTACATCCCAGCAATCCAAATTACTTCCCATTTTACATTCTTCTTTTCTTAAGCTAATTCCATATGTTAATAATGGTTGCCAGGTTTTCATAAATTTATCTTGCTTTATTTCCCCTCTATATATTTTAATTTGATTGGTCAACTTTTCCATTTATACATTTGCCAAATTCTGTTCCCAGTTTTTGTACTGAAAGATCTTGAACATGTCTTGAGTTTTGTGCAATTTCAGATCTTTCTTTCTTGCTACACAATGATATGCAATTAAGGTAAAGGTTCCCCTTGACATTTAGTCCAGTTGTGTCCGACTCTAGTGGTACTCATCCAGGCCATGGAGCCAGTGTTTGTCTGTAGACAGTTTCCGTGGTCACATGGCCGCGCAACTAGGCACGGAATGCCGTTACATTCCCACCATGGTGGTACCTATTTATCTACTCGCATTTACATGCTTTTGAACTGCTAGGTTGGCAGGAGCTGGGACAAGCGATGGGAGCTCCCTCCATTGCGTGGATTCGATCTTAGAACTGCTGGTCTTCTGACCTTGCAGCACCACCACGTCAATATGCAATTAGATCTTTATTAAATAATGTTTCATTTCATCCTTAAATATCGAAAATAATAATAAAGCTTCATTTTTAATTGTTTTTTTTATTCAACAGTGTTTCTATGCATTTAATTATTTCCCACCAATATGCTTCCACTTTGGGGCAAGAGATCCACATGTATTCTAGTGTGCCTTTATTTCCACAGTTTCTCTAGCACCTGCCTGAGATTTCTCCATTAATTTTGTGTAATTTTGTGGGGTGCCAATACCATATATGAACTACCTTCAAAACCATTTCTTTCATTTTAACTGATATTGATTTTTATAGATATGTGGTCCATATTTCCATCCATTTTTTCTCTGATATATTGATATTTAAATTTGTTTTCTGTCATTTTAGATCTCATAACCCTGGGAAATGCTTTCTCAACCAAATGTTTATATATTATTGAAATTATTCTCTTCCTTTTATTTCGATCTTTTTCTGTACTATATTGTTCTAGTTCTGTCAGCATTCTTATAGGTCCAGAACTGTGGTATAAATGAATTGAAAAATTTCTTACCTGTCTTAATTGTAGCCAATTAGTTTTTATTTCCTTTGTTTTGTCCTCTGTCTAATTGTTATTGTTATTGGTTTCCTTGCATCAAATAGGTCTTTCATTCTATAAATTCCAATTCTATTCCAATTTCTGAATTGTACATATTTCTTGATTTAAATTTCAGATAATTCAGCAAGGAGCATAGAGAGGATATAGGCAGAGCAAATAATCTCATGTATTTACACCATATTTTCAATGCCTCCCATGTGTAAGGATTTTGTACTTGCTCTTTCCTTCTAGTTTGTTCCATTATGTAAATACAAGTGTTAATTACACCAATATCCTCATCTCTTTCCATTTCAATCCAATCTGGGATTTCTTCTGTCCGTATAAACTTTATTAAATTTATACATTTATTACATTACATTTTATATTATGTAAACCAGTGGTCCTGAACCTTGGGCTTCCAGATGTTCTTGGACTACAACTTCCAGAAGCCTTCACC